TTCATGTTTGTTTCATTAGAAATGTATACGTAGCTTTCCATATTTTCTCGTACGTCCTACTAATAATGAATCAGGTAAATATTTTATAAAACCATATATTTATACTAAACCTTTATACAGTCGATCGAGAATTGTTACAACGTATTTGTCTGATATAATGTAAAGATTAAATATTGATACTGGCAAGGTCAGTGAGATATTTGACAAATACTGCCGTTTTAGTATATGCATACATTATATATAACTATATATAAGTAGATATATATATATATATATATATATATATATATATATATATATATATATATATATACAGAGTTAAACCTGTTTTTGTGCGGATGTAGAAAACGCATAAAAATCGCATCTCTTCTTGAAAAATTTAATGAATTGAATCTTTTCCTAAAACATATTGAGAAAACCCGATAAATGAATCGAAAATTATTTGCACAAAAAGTGTTCTACATAATAATTTATGAAGTTGTAACTTCTAGAAACATTATATATGAAATTACTTTTGTTGCAATTAGTATACATTATATATATATGAATGTATTTTATAATTGTGTAAAAATTTTACCAATTATGTAATACGTATTTTAAAAATAAGTGTTTTTTTTTATTTCCATATATTTTAATCACATTATGAACAATGCATAGTATAAGCAAATATTTCACTGACAATGAGTAACTTTGCAAAAGTAATTTCATTTTGAATTAATATTTTCTTGATACAGTGAAAACTAATTATTGCTGTCAAAACTAACACTTATAGTCCATAAGTTTTAAATAGTTCCTAAGCTGTTATTTAAGAATAATGTTGTATATACACCTTTTTTTGAAGGAAAAAAAAACTCCTATCACGGCCATGCTTCTACGAATCGACTGCTCTATTATCAATTCTTTGACTAATTGTAAGTCAGTTTTAATTAGTTTTATAGACAATGCGAGAATAATGTCTGAATTCACTGACAATACTAAATATTGATAGCGATTTGATGTCTTAGCCACGAAAAACCTTGTAGATTAAGTATTCGATATCAGAAATAACAAACAACGATTGACCTCATTTTTCGATCGCAAATTTTTGATTTTTTTCTGTATCAATTATGTAATACAAACGCAAATAGATATATATTTGACCGTTTCAATGTAGCATTGTCATCACAAGCAATATAAAACAACGAAAAATATGTAGAGAGTTCGCTTTTAATGAAATGTGATTTTTAATTTATTATCACCAAAAACGTCTGAAATACATAATTACTTTTTTTTATCAAAATTAACGATATATTTGTCAATGGTATTTTTAATGTGGCATAAGTAAAATTGATATTATACGAATGATGACATAAAATTATATATTGATTTTGTTTCCAAATATATATATATATATATATATATATATATATATATGTATATATAAGGACGTATGTATGTATTACATAGTATATGTATATGCATATGTATATGTATATATATATATATATATATATTTATATATATATATATATATATATAAAATCACACAACAATATTATAGATAGCATTTCTCAAATTATCTTTCCTCTAAATAATCTTAAAATTAATAATTGTAAAAAAAATTATTTTCACTGTATTAATGAAATAACGATCTAAATTCACTAGTAAAGAGTAAAAATAGTAACCATACAATTTTGATATAGACCAACGTCACAAAAACTTTAAATGACTCTATATTTGTTCGAAACTTTTGAGATTTCATTTAAACTCGTAATGGCCAATAAAACTCCAATGTTCTGTTGAAAGTAACATAATCGTAACAACACATTGAGTTTTTTTTACATATTATTAACAGTGATTGATAGTTCTATAAAAATAGAGTGACCTAAATTAAAACAATATAAAACAATAAATTATTGAAATATGACAAATCACGTAGTCAATAAGAAAAAAATTTAAATTCTTCAATAATTCATTTAGGAAATTCATCAATAATATAGTACCTATACGTAAAATACATTTAGCTAAAAATTTAAATATATTTATAATTAAATATATGATATTTATTACTCAAAGATTAATTAGTATTAATTTCAGAAGAATTATTCCATAGTTCAAGAAACATGTAGCTTTAGGTTGCTATTTTTTTACTCGAAAATTTTCAATAATTAATCAAGTATTTTACCATTTTACAATCCCGGTGTTTTGATGAAAGTGGCCAACACACTTTAGTACTTTTTTTTGACAGAAAGACCTATTTTAAAAATGTTATATTCATAGTTCAACAGAAGTATTATTTCTAGAAAACTTGGGGCAACTGTGCTATTATTTTTTACTGTCATCCTAGAAACGTTATTCACGGTCACAGTTCCGAAGTTTAACAAAATTAATAGTCAAAATTTCACCAAAGCTTAAGGTTGTACTGAGCTTTTAGCTCATAATTTCCAAACAACGTCAGATGATTTTTTTTCAATTTTTTTTCAGGAAAGCTAAGGTCAGAACTATCATCACCCTGTTTCGGCTTGACGTTAAGCTTTGGGACACGCTGTATATGTATAAATAAATATATATATATATATATATATATATATATATATATATATATATATACGAGGTCTGTTCAAAAAGTTTTCGTAATTTTCGTTTTTTCAAAAAAATATTTATTTATTCGTCTACATTAATGTGGTCCCCTTCAAAGTAGTCCCCCCCAGATATAATACACTTATGCCAGCGTTTTTTCCAATTTTCGAAGCACCCTTGATATTCACTTTTTGATATGTCCTTGAGCACTCTCGGCGATTTTCTTCAATCGAGGAAAACCGCCGTCCTTTCATGGGTCTCTTCAACTTTGGGAATAGGAAAAAGTCACACGGAGCCATATCTGGTGAATTTTTGCACTTTGCAACACTTTATTTCATTTTTTACGCAAAATTTAATACAAATTCTTTGACTTTTTCAATTCTTCCATTGTAAAAATCGCCGAGCTCAGAAAAACACGTCGAACCTTAGCGACTACCACAGACAAAGTAAACAGTGAATATAGCTGAAAATTTCATCATACTTTAGGGGCATGTATACCAACACAATAAAAAAAAATTTTGACAATCAGACACTCCAGACCCGCGAAATTTAATTATTAGTAATTCCGGGTACTTTTTGAACAGACCATGTATATATTATAAAAGATCCCAAAAAAATACAAACCATAAGCATTTAATCTATATTTATAATATTAATTATCATTCGTTCAGACAATTATCGTTTGAAAAAATAATTTTAACTATTACTGATTAACTTTTTTATATTTTGATTTGTACTATGCGATAATTAAAACAATAAAAAAATAAAAATGAATAGTGTCAATGTAATTCTCTATTAAATACTATGATAATGAATCCGATTATAATACAACGTGATCGAACTAATAATTTGAATAATTTGCTAATAAGTACTTTTGAAGCAGTATTATAACATAAGTAATGTAACAAAGGAATAGATTTCTATGCAGCATACGATATGTGAATCTTATAGCAAAAACACGTTGCAGATACCTATATATACATTACATATATTTATGTAAGTATTCACATATCATTTATATGTGCACATCGATACATGATTGAATACGAACTATTTACTGCATTGACTGCTGATTATTGCTATTCAGCCATGTGAGTCGCAAAACTATTTTCTAGAGCTGCAGCATGGACCGATGCACTTATTATACGATTCTACGTTTTCTTCGCACTCGATTCGACCTGCAACAATTGTGCAATCCTCTATTCAGAGATGGAAAGCTCTCAAAAGTATATCCAGTTCGTGTAATAAGCTACACGTATGCATACAAAAGATATATGCAACGCACGTGTTTAATTTTAGAAAACATAAACCCCACGGCGATCGGGTGTAAGGCTCCCTCGAATATGGCATGGAAAATGTAGATTTTTTTAATTAAAAAAGCTATTTTCATTCGAACCACAACAATGTTTTTATAGAAAATTTATAACACGTTACTTCAGGTGCATGTAAACGGAGAAGAAAATGTACAAATAGAGGTATCTAAAACATGCAGTAAACTTTTCGTTTTTTTAAAATATGGTTTATTATTATATATAATTAAAAAAAACGTAAATGGCACTGTTTTATTGCATAAAAACAATAGTGTAAATTTATAGTTAAATATAAAGTCTTAATTCTTGAAAACCTAAAACAATTGTGGTATTTTTTGCCGTGGTTTTAAAAATTGATGTTCACGATTATGGTTCTAAAGTTTGAATAAACAAAATTAATAAAAGTTAACCACAATGACCGAAAAATGGTCATAATTTCACGAAAGCTCTAGGTTGCGCTTAAGCGCTCATAATTCCCAAACAACGCAATTCTTTTTTTCTAATTTTTTTTCAGAACAGTTAAGGTTAACACTATCACCGTGTATCGGCTTCACATTAAAGCCGGGGACACCCAGTATATCTTGCATTTGAATATTGACAAGTTTTACTTTGTAAAACAATAGTAAAATAAGAGCTACTATAATAATAGATTTAATCTATTAGAAGGCATAATTAACACATCTAATTGCAAGTAAACATAAAAAAGTGTATGTCTTACGTAGCCAAAATCTCGCAAAATTTTCTGGCGTCGTTAAAAAAAAATCTCTATATAAATAAAGACAAACATAAAGTTAAAAAAAAAAATATTATAATGTCTGTGAAGAATAAAATAATTAATTGAATGAAAACGTGACATATAATCATCTTAACAGAATCAAAACGGTTACAAATTAATTTGCTTTAATTTGTACAAATTTGTACAAATTAAAGCAAATCCCTAAAGCGTTGATAAAATATTTGAATCCAGCCACAAGCTCGTATATGTAACATCACATAGTATTCAAAAACCAACCATTACAAGCATATTTCATAAACATGGCATATAATGACTGACCGCGTATAAAACTGCATATGAATATGAAACCCGATGTCATATAACGCATGCAAAAAAAAAATATTTTAACCACTGACCTGTTGGAGTGCGACGTCCGAGCTTGCGCCAGCTCCGGACTAGAGACGCCGCCGCTGATCGAAGTACACGGTGAGCCTGACATGCCGTCCGGGGACTCCGAACATGCCGGACGGCTGTCACTCGATTCGGCGTCGCTCATTGCACGTACCCTGGAAACAAACAGGAATAATCAAAGAAGATTTATATTATGAAATATGTTGCGTTAAAGTTTTTGTAATTTTTTGTTGGATGGGCCACAAGTACATATTATACACAAAATAACCAAATATAATTTTAATTGATTTATTACATATTTATTTATTTAGCATAGCTAAGTATTTGTGTAGAAGATATGTGATCAATAATACACTTGTATATTTTAAAGAACAGTAATAAATTTTTATTACATAGTCAGATTAAAAAAATAAGCTACTTTGGAATATTTACAACAACATAAGATGAGGTCAAAACCAGTGGCGGATCCAGCTTCGGCGTCAGGGGGGGGTCATAATTGAAAAGTTTTTATAGTCCTCAATGAGTATGTAACAAATTTAATATATATATATATATATATATATAATATATATATATATAATATATATATATATATATTAGATAAAACGGGGCTTAAAGATTCGCGGGTAAAAAGGTCCACCACCGATGTCTCAAAAACAAGTAAAGTTCAGGATTTCTTAACAACAATATTCGAAAGTAGAGGGAAAAATGTACAACCAGCCATCACCCTGATTCTTACGGCGTTAAAAAAGCATTTTCACAAGAGATAAATTAAACTAGCTGTAAGTAGAATTCTGTCTTAAGGCAATTAGGGCATCGTGCCTTAAGGCAAATTGCTGGAACTTCCCGTACCAAAAATTATTATTTTTTTTTAAAACGATTAACATTTTTGAAAAAAAAAATACTTTGAAAAAATAAGATTTTTGAGAAACTATAAATTGGACAAAAAATTAGTTTTTTTTGAAAAAAAAAAAATTTTTAAAAAATTTTTTTTTTTTAAAAAAAAATTTTTTTTTTGAAAAAATTTTTTTTTCTTTATTTTGACATATTGTGGAAGATCTGAACTTTTTTTTCAAAGCAATCGTACTGCTTTAACTACATAGGGACAAAATATAAAGCGCGTAAGCGCCGCGTCGCTGTCTAACGCATAAGCATTGGTACGGAACCGATAGGAATGTTAACAAAATGTATACTTATTGTTAAAATCTCTATAAAATGTCTGATAATTTGATGTGCATACGTCTAATGATCATTTTTGACCGCCAAATGGCTCATTTTTTTACTTTTTCCTCCATATCTCCGAAACCGCTGGACCTACCTTCATGAAAGTTGTATCGATTCTTTATCTTGTCAATACAAATGAAATGTTTTTTGAATTATTGAAATCGGACGCTCCGTTCTCTTAAAAACTGAGTTACCGTTTTCGGAACTTTTTGCCCCGTATTTTCGGAACGGCTTGACCTGCCTTTGCCAAAAACTAATCAGCACGTCTCCTTATCAATACGGATCGAATGTTTTTTGAATTATTCAAATCGGTTGATCCGTGTTCCCGAAATCGTCGACGAAAATTTGTATCCGCACATACATACACACACATACATACATACATACACACACACACACACACACACACACACATACATCCATTTTTTCTAAGGTATGCCAAAATGTTCAGAAACCTCTGAAACGTAAAGATATATAAAAATTTTCATTTTCGATTTTTTTGCGATTACTATAACTTACCCTACGGGAAGTTAACAAATATTTATTCCAACTCCGCTGGTGAATATTGTGGACAAAATATCAAATCAAGGTTATTTACAGAGTTATCTCTGTAAAAAATGTATCTATAAAATTTATATTTTTCATTCGTTGAATAATGTAACTATTATTTCGTTAAATCCCTTTAAAATTAAAAATAGTAAATTGTATTGTTTGTCCTCTCGCCGATTTTATCCCGCCTATGGGGGACAATTTTTTTTAAAAACAGCAAAAAAACACATTTTTACAGTGATGAATTAGCTGAAAGTTGTACTAAATTCTTCTTGGTCTTATTGGTTGTTAGGTTTTTCGTTTAGTTTTCACAATATAATTGCTCAAAGTTAAATTGTACCCGCCTAACCTTATATATTAACTAGGTGGTATTGGTATTTAGCCTTGAGGCAAGTTACATGAACTTCCCGATATGTGTAAATAATCGACTTAATCAATAAAATATAAATTAATTTATGAGTGTTAAAAGTATTCCGAGTGGATTTATTACACATAATTGAAAACGAACGAACACTTTGACTCAGAGTATTTTCTAAAAGCAAATTTTCAAAAATCAATAATTTTTATAATTGAACCAGTTTCCATAGGACTTTAATCGACTTAGTATGTTCATTAAAACCAAGTACTCTATCGTTATACTAAGTAAATCATCTAATTTCAATTTTAACAAACGTCAACAAAACTACTCATTTACTCAAACTTTGATGAATTTTTAAAATTAAACTACTTGTCGTAAGGCCGTAATATTTCAGTAAGTTCTATAAGACCATGATATACATCTCCAAAGAAAGTTTCATAAAAATCGGCTTAATTTTTTTTTTAGCAGTTAATTACAAGAAAACGGCTCGGTAGATTTTCACCTAAAACTAATCAGTATTATTCCCAACTAATATCTTTCGAACAGTTTTTGATTTTTTATTTTTTTGATTGGACAAAAAGTTTAACACTCTTTTTCAAATTACAAAGAAACTGCTTGGCAGATCGTCTCACAAAACTGACAAACTATAGTGCTCATTGAGATACATCGAATGGCTTTTAAATTTCTGAAATCGATTCAGGCGTTTTTGAGCAAACGTCGATGAAAGGTCTAATTTTGACAAATGCCAAAAAAACGATACCAATTTGTGCAAACGAATTTTTAAAGTTAAACGGGTTGTCGTAGGGCCGTAATATTTTAGTATGATCTAGAAGACTATGGTGTTTACCGTCAAAAAAATCATAAAAACCGTCGATTTTTTTAAAAAAAAACTTTATTATAAGAAAACGGCCCGATCGATCTTTACCAAAAACTAATCAGCACGATTCCCAACCAATATCTTTCGAACGGTTTTTGAATTTTCAGAATTGTAAACTAAAACGTGGACGAAAAAAAATTCACTTTTCTGCTATTTATAAAGAAACGGCTTGGACGATCGTCGCACAAAAATTTTTGAAATCGGTCGAACCGTTTTTGAGAAAATGTCGATTTACGGCAAAAATTCTGTTCACATACACGCACACACACACCCACACACACATACTTTTTCTAAATTTGGGCTCATGCGAATCAGAATGGCTTGAAACGTTGAGAAAACATAAAATTAGCGAATCGGATTTTTTTATGAAAACAAACTTCTTCGGGAAGTTAAAAATAATCTGCGTCTTTGACGTGAGTCAAAATTTGACCTTTTCTCGACGTTTTCTCGTCTGGACCGATGTTCAAATTTAAGAACTATAAAATGAAACTGGATAAGCCCTTGCGTTGATTAGTTTTTTAGACAATTGGTCGATCCGTTTCTTTACTATTGACAGAAAAGTGCAAAAATTATCGTCCATGTTTTTGTCAAAAATTTTGAACCGTTTTTGCTTAAACTATTCGATTTATATCATTTGGAAATAAATGGTTTCTAGCGAAGATCGGTCAAGTCGTTTCTTTTTCATAATAGATTTGTCATTTCTATTTGCATGGCGATAGAGTTTTTGCTCTAAATGAACGTGCTAAACTATGGCATGACAAGTGGCTTACTTATGATAATTAAAGTTTGGATTATTTGGCCGCGCTTTTAAAAAATTCACCGTGTGTATGTATTCGGCTTCGTATTTCGTATGTGCTCGTTTTCCATCAATGTGTAATATTCAAACCATTTTTTTCAAAAAAAATAATTACTATATTTGAAAAAAAAAAACAATTTGCAATCGTTCCTCTCTTCAAAATGGTTTACAGCTATTAGGTATACTTCTCTAAATCAGTCATTATAAACTTCCCATAGGGTAGTTATAGTAATAGGCCGAAAATTTAACGTTTTGAAGGATTCTGAACACTTTGGCATACCTCAGATAAAATGGATGTGTGTGTGTGTTTTGTTTGTCCGCATTTTTTCGTCCACGTTTTCGGGCGCACGGATTAACCGATTTGAATGGTTCAAAAAACATTCGATTCTTATTGATAGGGAGATGTGCTGATTAGGTTTTGGTAAAGACAAAGGTCCAGCAGTTACGCAGATACGGAGCACAGAGTGCAGAAAATACAAATCGAGTTTTTGAGAGAACAGAGTATTCGATTTGAATGAATGAGCGAATTTGAAATTTCGGATGAATGATTTTTTTCCCTGAACTGTAATAAAACATATATTTGCAATACGATTAGAAAATCCTTAAATTTTAGGGTTTTTGACTCCCCCATTCGTCTACAATCAGTTAATTATTCAAGTTATAAAATGTGTTTGGTAAAAAAATACATAAATGAAATAATTATGAAGTAATTTTGTTGTTGAATTAATGTTTTATCTAAGTCCTAAGAGAGGCCCAGGGGGGGGGTCATGACCCCCGTGACCCCCCCCCCCCCCTGGATCCGCCACTGGTCAAAACGTTGAAAATTGGTATATCGGATTTTTTCAAAAAGACTTTAAAAATGGCATATAAATTATTTAAATACAAGGGTGGCGCCAATTCTGTATAGCAATGCGCCCATACCCTTTATAATAAATTCTCATTTATGTCTTTATTTTAAAACATACAAATTTTAATCCAAAGTATTACTTATCAGTAGGTTCGGTTGTGCTAGGATAGGGTAGTGACAGTAGCCATGGCAGCTGCACTATACTGATTTATAGGATTCAAAGAGTGAAAGATGTAGTATGTTTGTTTGAACATGTTCAGATTATTGCATTCAGTCTGCGCCCTTTAATGAGTCAGTTTCTTTGTTCGATTTCTTTTATTCAGATAGATCACTTTGTTTGTTATTTTGTTGTAAGTTAAACATTAGTAGTTAATCGCCAGCAGTTAGTTTTTGTGTATGATGATTTGTTTTCAAAAGTGCGCTGGGTACGCTTGTGACCTGTATTTCTTGTCCTTTTTAGGTAAATAAACACATCATATAACAATTTTGAATAATGTTTATTAG